ATGCAGATTTAAAAAAAAATTCCACCAACAGATAACAAAAGTATTTTATGTGTATACTTCATTACTTAGTCTCACCGACCACGACTCTAGCAAAGTTTCGCCAAAAGTTGCTAGTGTACGGTTCAGTTTGTGTTGACGTGTCGATGGATATTGTGGTACGAGTTTCAAAAAACGGGGCACAGCCTTTTTGTGTCGTCCAGTAACACAGATGAAAATATCCAAAGTTTCCAAGGTAAGACTGGCACTCAAGTGAATCTTTAATTAAGAGTGGGAGCAGGAATGTGTGCTTATCCAACAGAATGACAGGCCTTTCCATTTACTGTGCAACTAATTTGGGGACTGCTCATGCAGGTAATCCGAAGCGTCATATCACCACTCACAATGCTGATTTTACGGGTAAATTTCCACCGGGCTTTGCTAAAAGGGCTGTAAAAATGCCTTTTTAAAAACAACAGCTAACCACTCGGCAAGAAAAGATAAAAACAGCCATGACCGAGTTAAAGAAATGCATTTTCACAAAATTGTGTTATACTGCCAATAACCATTTCTTTAGAATATCTTTTTGTATTTGGTTTGTTGTCCTCCCACCGCACGCACAATTAGCGTGGTTGGCTACGTACGGTGCCAAAGAAGTACGGATGGAAAGTCACATTGACTAGCATTAAGGTTGCTTGGCTAGTACCAAATATATATGCTTTAATTGTGCGTTTGTTATGTTTTATAACTCTGGTTGCTTTGTTGTAACAGTTATCTGAATGTATTGTATACGACTATATTAGTCTGGAGCATATGACAATATTTAGCCACCACTCTAAAAACACAGCCTCCCATTCAATGTGTATTCATATGCAGTACAGTGCGGCCAGACAGAAAAAAATGTTTGTACAAGAAACGTAATCTAATTACATAAACCAGCTTTGCTCATTAAAAAATACATGCTTAGGCATGACAAGGTTAAATCCAGGTAATTGTTGGTCAGCTTTCTGGTGGATTGCGGATCCCATTGAGGTCCAGAAAAAAATGTTTATCACAGTGCTTGGTGTATTGCCAACCGCTATTCTATGCCAGGGTCGACATTGGTGAAGTCACCCTCACAATGGGATGGAATCGGTCGCCTACCTCTGGAAAAATATCAGTAAATCAACAAATAAACCTTTTATACAGGCAAATGTAAGGATGTTTATGGCAACAAAGTGTTCGATGTGTCATCAAGAAAAGATTTTGATGGCGATGGATGGGACTCATGTGGAGGGAGGAGAACACGTGACCGAGATATTGGAATCGTATCTCGACATTGGTAAACCAGGGGGAAGATAAATCCAGGTCGTGGTATAAAATAAACAAAGGTATACCGTAGATGTTTTCTCCAATTGTGTTTGGTATCCCATCTTGAGACGAAGCATGATCTCACGCAAGCAGAGCAACCTTTCATGTTAGATAATCGCCAAGGGATGGGAGACCATCAGAACTGCCTCTGAGAGCCCCTTCAAGTGTGTCCTAACGTTCCCACAGTAGGTGGCAGTATTTTCCCACCTGCCGTGCATGATTAACGGCAGAACATTTTTCCAAGCTGTAATTATCGACAAATTAAGTGCAGTACAACAATTTATGCAATTTTTTTTTTCGTGTAGAGACCATGAACTCACTACAACGAAGAACCAAAGTTTATTAAGTGGGCTGAAACCCAGGAATCTCAGTGGCGGTGGCTCAGCGCTCGTCTGACCTCTTCCCCCCCGCACCCCTCTGGCCTCCTTGAAAAAAAAATCTAACTTTTAAACACTGCTCTGCCTGTGTTGTGCTGTGACGTGCACGCAGCTCCAGTGACGTCTCACCCACCTCGTTCCCTGTGTGCCATTTTTAACGGTGAAGATGCTGCTCCCTGGCCAGAGTACGGTCACCTGCCAAGGACAAACATCTCGTTAGGGCCACCAAGCCTCTCAAACAGTGGACAATTAGCAACCCGAAGGTCGTCGCTCTCAAAAACGGTGGTTTCTGCAAGCAGTACACCGATCGTGAACATGAAGTGAACGCACGCTACTCAAAGCAAAACTGTCAGTTGCTGTATAAAAAGCACCGGGCTACCAGACCGCATCTAAATGGGACCAAGATTTGCTGTTGATGCGCCGAGAAGTTGAAGCCGTTGACAATTCTGGAAAACATTGATCCAAGTGGTGGAGTTTGATGGGCTTAAACGCTATTTGATTTTTGGCAGAGACACTCATCTTTTTTTTAAATGGTGCTATTAAGTTACATACTGTACCGCAGCTCAACATACACCTTCTAAACGACACCACACAGAGGCAGCACAACTTTAAATGTTGTGATTAAGAACAAATGTACATCATAAAGTGAATATAAATATTGTTATAGCCGTCTCGGCTGAACATCTTAACCATCGACTGCTGTTTCAATCCTGTGCATATGCAATAACACCCAAAGCCTATAAGTTGGCTCCGTGTCCAAGTCCAATCGACGGTCTTCAACCAAGTGCCTAAACCTCAGTTGGTTGTCATGATTGCATCAAGGCAAAACAATGAACCAACCTTTGGCCGTTATCTATTCGTTTGATTGCATATTTTTTTAATTGAACGTTTCTGACGAGAGGTCGACACTTCCTGTGCATTTGCTAATTTTTCCACGTAGTTTCCTTTGTCCAAGCAGGCTGGGGCCTGGCTAGAACTTGAATGGGTTACCACCGCGATTCACAAACATATTGTCAAAAGGTCATGCGAGGCTAAGTGGTGGACAACAGTGGACAGTGCAACATCAGCTGTTGGCCTGTACTTCTTTGCTCCCCCGTCTTTGCCAACCCGCACTGATCAGCGTTGGTCAAATAGCCCCCCGTCCCTCAACACTCACACGCCGTGGTAAGGCCCTCATGCAGCATTTAATTTGTACATATACTGTATACGTACATTTGGAACACGTCATGTCTCAATTGAAAACGAGACTTTTGAGTCTCTAGGGAGTCTCGCGTCTTTAGGTATCCTTTGTTTTCCCAGGCGTGATCACAAAGGATACATTGATGGCATACATATACTTTCACCTCGCCACTATCAACGTACAGTATATCATATCTGCTCGTAGTAGCGAGGTACTTGAAATTCATACTTCGGCAGAGGTTGCGGGTACAATGAGTTGCAGAGTTTTTTTGTTGTTGCGATACTTGGGATTGTGAAGGACGATCAGCGAAGCCGTTTCACGTTGTACCAGCAAGAAATGCCACCGTGCCCAACAATAAGATGGCCTTACATCATCGCCTCGACGCAAAGTGAATGCGGCCTCACTTTTCCAGCCGCCGGTCTGTGGCTTCACACGAACACACACAAAGGCCCTCTCTCTCTCTCTCTTGAGGCAGCGTCAAGCCTCGCCGTCAACCAATTCAGCGGCCGCCGCGACATCCACGAACACACAATCACGCCCGCTCCTTAAATAAACAAGCCGAGTCATCGAATAATACGAGACGCCCGCTGCTTGGACGCGCAACAACAACAAAACATAAATGTCCACGGCCACCACCACCACCACCACCAAACTCGAGCGGCCATGGTTTGGCCGAAAGTCTCGTTCCTCCCCCTTCCTCCCCCACCATCATCGCGTCGCAACGTTCCCGACCACGGCAACCCGCCTCTCGCGCGGGGGGAACGAAGACGGCGACGGGAGTGGAGCGGGAGGAGGGGGACAACGCAGCCGAGGGATTACAACAAAAAAAGCCGAGCGGGGAGAGCGAGTTAGGGGGCCCGCCATGCACACCTCTTGTGTGCGGCCCCGCGCCACCACGAAAAGTCGCTCTCCCGACGAGCAGCGCGGAGGTAACGCGATTTTTTTTTATTCCCGGCGTTTGACCCCCTCCCCTCCCCCACCAACATCAAATTTCTCGACCAGTCCGGCACCCGTAGTCGTCTCTCCACTCCCCCACCCCGCTACCACCACCGGGTGGCCATCTTGCTAGGGGAGAAGTCGCCGCCGGTTTTCAACGGCACCGAAAGCGCGCCGTGATGACGTCGCGCATGCGGTTCTCGCTCATCGGCGGCAGCTCTCTCCTTTACAAAGATGGCCGCCGAGTCGCACACGCGCGTTGGAATCGACGCCGCCGACTAACGTCAGCATTCTCGGCCAGTGGCGCGCGGTGTCTGCAAATTCACCCGCTCGCGACAGACGAGAGCAAGTTTAATGGCTGAATACGCGGCAACCGAATCACCAATGCTGCAAGTTGCTCTTCGTTACGAAGTTATCATACGCTTTGTGAAACGAGCAGACGTTTTTTGAAGACGAACACGTAGCTATCAATCGGTTTATTCTCCCGCGACACTTATTTAACAAGCGGTTCTTACATTGTTTATATTCCGATCTAAAAGTGCTAATATTGAGATTTCATTTTACCCCCCCCCGCCTCCTTCGTGCAGCCACAATAAGATAACGCAGCGAGACGTCACCTCTGCATTACATTTCACAACTCGGATGGAACATGACTCTAATCCCCGCCCCGCACTACGATTGGTCTGCTCGAGCACGTGATCGAAATTTTTTTTAGTGTAGCCACCGTTGACCAATCGGAGCGCGGTGTTAGCTCCGCCGCCGCTTATCCGCTCTGTGGAATGTAAGCCACGTGCGCCGTTGTGACTTTGTGGAAGCGCCGTGACTGACTGTAAGGGCAGTTTCAGACATTTCGCGTAGGCTTACGCGACCAATATCACCCATAGTACAGGTTCTTTTTTTTGTTTGGAGGGGTTAGATCGCGTAAATATAAACGTGTCGTCAAACCCGGACGTTACTTATAGTACAGAAACACCGGTTGCTGTGTTTGGAGAGCGAATCCACAACATTTACAATCTTGAGCACGACGTTTCACGCCAGCAATTACGACCGGGCATCATCATCATCAGGCGGTCGCTCACGAGGGAACTTGCGATTGCTTTTGTTTTCCCGGGGGGGGGGGTCGTTTGCGCGTCGATCTCCTCCTGACTCGGCCTCCAGAGACAGCCCCCCACCGCCCCCAACGTCGACACGCGCGGATAAACTCCTCCAAGGATGTCGAGTTGCAGCCGCGTAGCGCAGGTGAGAGGGAAGGCGATTATTATTATTATTGGCTTGACCCCGCAAACCTGCGATCGGCTACGTGCGGTGGCGAAATAAAAGTCTTACCTTCAACTCCCTTATTAGTGCCCCCTACCTTATTACGGACCGATCCCAGACCTCGTTGGTTGCCCTTGTAAAGTTCAACGTTCGTCCGACAATGTCCCGTCACAAGGGAGAAACGCAAACGAATAGACACGTGGTTTTGTTGTTACCCCTATTGAAACGGCTGCACGCTGCATGGACCCCCTATAGTTCTATTCCCCTGTACAAGAACATTACGGGGTTTATACATCGTGCGGACATAGCTGCGTGGCCGTGCGCAATGTACTGCTGGATGAAGGCCCCTTCCACGGCCGGGGCGGTCATATTTGACCTGCTGCTTGGCGACTAAGTTGTGCGCTTTCCAGAAGGCTGTGTGGCCGATGGGATGTTGGAATATTGTTTTAAAGTTTTTTTTTTACGTGAGGGGACGGGTGATAACGTGTTGACACTCGGTCACTGCGGATTGGTGATCCCCGTGGGACAATAGACGCTGAAGCATAGTGCAGTGTAACAATGGCTTTGCTTCCTCATTAGACCTCCTTTGCCAGTCCCAAAATATAATAAGGGATTTTTCCCCCTTTTTTGGCAACAAAACTGAAACCTTTTTGCAAGGATTAATGTCTGCATTAACCACAATACCTGTAGTCAAAATGAAAAAAAACATACTATGATAATATATGAATTGCACTTGAAACTGATTGGTCCACACCAAGGGACGGCTTTCTTTTGAGCCTCGACCCAATTGGTGCTCGACCAGAGGACGCCAAAAGGCGTTACACAGCTCAAAGACAATGCACTATCAAAGTAATGAGGGCTCGGGGTGAGCATCTACAATTCTACATCATTAGACCTCCTTTGCTAGTACCAAAATATAATAGAGTTTTTCCCATTTTTTCTGGCAACAAAACTGAAACCTTTTGATAGTGTCGCCCATTCAAGCACTTTGATAGTGCATTGTCTTTGAGCTGGATGCCTTTTGGCGTCCTCTGATCGAGCACCAATTGGGTCGAGGCTCAAAAGAAAGCCGTCCCTTGGTGTGGACCAATCAGTTTCAAGGACAATGCATATATTATCATAGTCTGCTTTTTGTTTGCATTTTGACTGCAGGTATTGTGGTTAATGCAGACATGAACCCTTGTAAAAAGGTTTCAGTTTTGTTGCCAGAAAAAAGGGGGAAAACCCTGTTATTATAATGGATTTGCTGTTGCACTGCTCCCTCTGATGTCCACACCACGTAGCCTGGATGCCGCCTATAGCAGACGTGTTAGGCGCTGTAGTCACCCATTCAAGCACAATCCAAGCTCAAGCCTGCTTAGCATTCGATATTTGCAGAGTTCGGGGAATTTTGGGTGATTTGGGGGTTTGTTAGGAGTAGAAATGTGAGGGCATTTGAAATACATTGTACGTTTTCGGTGCAATTTGGCTAGCGTCACCGATATCCTGTGTCAAGCCAAGGATGGCACGTTTCTCTTGAGGGTCCATAAATGGCCATGTCAGAGACCGGACCGATACATTTGGTTCCTGGGTTCAAGATTCATGGTGGTGCCCTGGGACCGAGTATCTGTTAGGAGGCTCGTAATGGCCACCGAAAAACACTGAGCCAGCAACATTTCCTTCTAGGTTTAAGGCTCGGGTCCTGGGGCTGGGTGTCTCTCAGGTTGGGTTAATAATGACCATGTCCAAGGCACTCAGCTGGCAGAGGAGGAGCAACATGTTCAAGGTATATGTAACACGGAAAACAAATAACTCGCGTCTTGTCGATACTTGCCTAGGCTGCGTGCCCTGGGGTGCCCAACGCTAGTTTAAACCTCTTTCGTTTCCCCAAGTCGGTGTTATGTCATTGAGATATGAACGTCAGTTTGTCATGCATTACAATGCACGCATTTATGTTAACTTACCTAGTTATTGGGTATTCGTGCTGACCATGGTGTATCTGTGCCTTTTACCCTCCTGTCTCCTTGTCCCGCTGTCTCTTTGTCCCTCTCCCTTCACCCCATCTGTCCACATCTCCTTGCCTCCTCGTCACCCTGCTACCTCTTGTTCTTTTGTTCATTTTTCTTGCCCTCTCATTTTCCTATCTTCTCATCGCCCCGTCTCCTTGTTCCCCCATCCTCTTGCCCCTCCCTGTCTCCCTGGCCCCCTTGTCTTGGGTTCGCTCTGCCCTATGCCTCCCCTGTTCGGTCCACGTCTATTCTGCTGCCGCTGTAGCAATGGGGCACGTTTTCGCGGATGTGGTATCTGCTGGACGCCCGTCTCCAGCCGCCAGGCAAAGTGGCCAAGCTGTGTGCCATGCACCTCAAGGGACAAAACAAGCCCATCTACCATGCCCTGAGTAAGTCTCGCAGCCCCTCAAAAGCCATACACATGTACAGCCCTTTTTGTAAATCCACTACTCGATGAGGGCCTCCCACCGCAAAGTGTTAGTCTTGGCAGTTGCTTGACTCTACTTTACCACACTGTTCAGTGTGCGAATGGTGGAAGGAAGGGCCCGGCAGCGCCTGTTCCGATATCACTCCGTACCGATGTTAAACGCGGCTGGGAATCGAGCAGATTCGTCGTGCGCTGTGCGGGTCGCTGCGCCTCCGCTCCATCTCCGTTGGTGCACATGGAATAATTTCCTGCTTGTAATAGGAACACAGTGAAGTGATCACGACTCATCATCAAGCTGAGCGTTTGAAGAGCGACGCAATCCACAAGAAATATCCCCTTGTTGCAACGCACCTAGGTTGTGTGTCCCGGCCTGCGCAACATACATTTAAAAGCACATTAATGAAAATAAATATATACTCTTTGGTTCTTTCGGTAAAGTCACGTAGGTATAAAATAAAATCAATCACAACATTTCGGGCGCAACACAAGCATCCGTCATCAGATGGGAAAGCATGATACCTACGTGATTTTACCGAAAGAACCAAAGAGTATGGATTCCTGCAGTCACGAAAGCTTCAAATCAAGATTTAAATAGACTTTAAAATCATGGTCCGGTGCACACAGTATGGGTATAATGATTCATCCCCTCCGCAATTAGATGAATCGTCACCATTAAGGGTCGCACCTCCGATGAGCACGGCTGGCTACGTACGGTGAAAAAGAAGTTCGGCCTCTTGAGGCTGCAATGGAACACGTGAAACCATTGCCTTTAACATGCACATCTTACACGCGTGATGCGATGCACGTATCGCGAGGTTAAAGAATAGACGTCAATCGGATGAATCGATGGCGTGTAACACCCGTTATTGTGCTCCTCAATAAGCCGCAGTTGTTGTGCGCACCGACCCGTTGGCAATTTTACCTCGAGACGCAAGGTGGCGCCCTCGGTCCGTGCAACAGCTCGCCAGAGTTGAGAGCAATCATAAAATAATGTCATTCTGGGACACGTGAAAAAGAGAAGGCTCGTAGCTTTAAACGACTCTTTTTTTGGGGGGGGGGGGGTTAGGTGGGGGGGGCGGCTGATTCGTTTCTGGCGTTAACACGCTTTTACGTCTTTCCCAAGGCATGAATAATTTTTGAAAACGTATGACCGCTCGCTAAGCCTTGCCAGGCTGATTGCGTATGGAAGGGTCCTTGTGTTTTTCTCTCTCTCTCGCCACTGGCTTCAGTCCAACACATGGTCTAGATTACAAAAAAAATTGCTCCAGCAGAATGTTTTATTTAAGAGAGCGGAGCCAGTTTATTTTTTTTTTCAAAGGGAGCGGTGGTGGATTTTTTCCATTCGCTGCCAAAGTGAAGCCTGTTTAGGTTATACATTTTACTATTTGATATGTTAGTATAACATTGTAAAGCATATTTGAAACGCAAAGATTTTGAAACTTTTTTTCCCAATTTAAATTTATCACTGTTCCATCACTGTGGTCATAAACAGATATAATTTATTTATCATCATAGTTTACACTCCAATTATTTTTTGTTTAATCACGGTCTCCCAACACATAACCAAAGGCCTATAATAAAAAGCAGCTAGAAACTTAAGAGCATTAATGATAAAAAATATAAATTTCTATTTAAAGCTTTCGTGACTGCAAGGATTCATCTTCTTTGGTTCTTTCGGTAAAGTCACGTAGAATGAGAATAAAATAATAAATTGATAAAATAAAATAACACAATTTATAATTTTATTCTCATTCTACGTGACTTTACCGAAAGAACCAAAGAAGATAAAAAATATATATGTATAAGAACGAACATGTTTCTTGAATGACGGGAAGAGTTACGAGAACCTAGGAAATGAGACTGGGGGAGAGAGCTTCCAAGTCAAGCAGTGCGAGGAAAAAATGAAGGACGAGAAATGTTGCGTCCTGTGATATGGGTTGTTGAACATGGTGTAGATGACACGAGGGTTGTTAATTTAAGTTTTTTTTGCGTGAGTATTCGTTGCATGCCACACATCAAACTCTCAACGTAACTTGAGCCCATGGTGTGGCTATGTGTGCGTGCACTTGCCCGAACAGTCGGTTAAGGTTATTTGGGGGGGATGTTTGTCTTTATCTTTGTACATATTTGAGTCGGTGTGAACGCACCACGCCGTGGCCGAAGAGCCCTGCCGCTGGTGCCTTACGATGACCGCCGCTGTCCAGTCGCATCGGAGCACTGCGTCCCGTGTGAATGTTCCAGCTTGCCAATCGGGTCAACCTTTCATTGAAATGAAACGGGTTTGTGAATATTGATTTCCATGGCTGGCTATTGGAATCGATAATTCCAAAAGTCATTGTAGAAAAATTGCTTATCGATTAACAACCCTAGGTGAATGACATGGTCCTAAAAACCAGTCACTAAAATTGTGGCACTTAATCCAATGTGTTGTTGCCATACGGATAATAGGCCGGCTTGTTTTGCGTGTGACTCAACGAAGAGGAGAGTTAACGGCTCATACCTGCCCAAGTTACGCAACTCAACCTGGACGTCCAATCCCCCTTGTTGATTGAGCTCTCGGTGCTTTGCTGCCCCCCCCCCCCGTAACCCCCCCACCCCCTTCCCACCCCCCAAAAGATGACTGTGGGGACCATGTGGTGGTGATCAACACGAGGCACATCGCATTCTCCGGCAACAAATGGGACCAGAAGGTGTACAGCAGCCACTCCGGGTACGGTGAGAAGCGCCGGGGTAGGAGCTAGAGGAGGTTGCCGCGCATTCTCTTCAACGGGACGTGCCGTTGCTTTGGACGAGGTTGCCGCACCAGGGTTGGGGAATCTACGGCCCGTGACTTGATTTAATTTGGCCCGCGGCCATATGAAGTTGGGTTATTATAATACGAACCCGCAGGTTACTGGTATTTGTCTCTGTGAGCATCTTGGCTTCCACCGATTGGGTACTCGGGGGCGGGGGTGGGGTGGAATATTTGTGTGCGCTCAGTCACTTCTCTCCTTTTCTTACGCTCACGCACGTTGTTTTGCACGTTATTATTGTATTGCGCCAAGTTGTGTGCTTTCACGTTTGTTAGCCCGCCATCGGTGTTTGTCTTTTTCTGATCCCAAATGTTCCCCATCTCTGTCCTACGCCGAGCAGCAGGTGGAATTTACGATGGACCGATTGTCCCACCCTCAGCCGTATGACTTAATTCTTTCCTCTTCAATAAAGTCCAGTTTGGGCACTTCAGTATATATTTTACTGGTTTAAAAGAAATATGTTTGTTATTCCGTTGATAACTCAAGCACCAAATGCCGTACAGGGTGGTGAGTTATGCGTCGTAAAAAAGAAAAAATCTTCTTTCCTTTCCAAAGCGAGAGTTTTTTTTTTTTCGGAAAGTGCCTGACCTGACTTGGAGAGAGGGCAGGAACATTCCACCTTCTACTTTGAGAACTGAAAGTTGATGCTGGGATGAGCTCCTGTATACACGGCCGTCTTTCTGGCTCAGAAAAAAAACAGGCAACGTTTTTAAGTAGCTTGACAGTAAGTAACTTTGAATCAACCGGCTTATGGGCCATTCCAGATTAATACTCCTGATTACCATTTTAAACATGACAGACTATAGACTATCATTGCTTTTAGTCACCTACCTCAAACAGCAATACAATGGCTGTTAAATCAATCACCATACCCACTTGATACATTGCGGGACAGTAGAATGCACGGATTAAAGATAACATACACTAGTTAAAGATATCCTTCATGACGTTGATTGGTAGTCGATTATAACGATGGGAACGGGCATGACAGTACGTCCACCGCAGAGATGGAGCAACAAAAATCTGCTTTTGTGCAGATCCTGAGTGGATCGTTGCATCGTGAGACCATGGCGGGTGTCGGTGGCTGGGGGCGGGGTTGGGCAGGCCTTCATCCAGCAGTGGATTGAGCGTGTCGGACGATGATAACCAATTGTTTTGATTTAATGAACAGGTATGCCGGTGGATTCAAACAAGTGATTGCAAAAGACCTCCACAAGAAGGACCCTACTGCAGTACGTATCAAACGTGCGACTACATCACCCGGACTCCTAAGGCAGATTCCGGGGGTATTTTTTACGCTATTTTGTTCCCGATTGGTCCACTTCCAAATGACGCGGTAACGCCTCGGGTTTTCCCCATTTTAACGCTTTATTTTACTTGCAGATTGTACGGCTGGCTGTGTATGGAATGCTGCCCAGTAACTTGCTCCGGAAGACCCAGATGATGAGGATCCATCTCTTCCCGGACGCCGTGAGTGCCGCGAACGAGATTTCCTTTCTTGATAAACGAGGCGGCGTGGACGTGGGCCCAATTTTGCCACCGTGCTGGCTCGCTCTTCCTTTGCGGCTGGATGTGAAGCAGCAAATATCCCTGCGCAGATTCATTATATGTGGATTTCACAGCGGTTCATCACAACACACCTCCGATTAGCACGGTTGGTTACGTCCTGTGGGAAAGAAATTCAACATACATACGGTGTCGTTGATGGCCTGGTCACTATCGCCGCAATCTTTCAAAGCACGGCCGGTGACGCGGAGGTCCTGGGTTCATCGATGTCTTCCTTCCGCGGGACGTTCTCGAACGTGTGTGGTGATGCTCCGCTCTGCGAGAGTTTCCAGTCGGACGCTTAATCGCTTGGGCACGATCCGAATAAAAAAAAAATGGCCTTATAAGAACTTCAAGTGAGTGGGCAACACGAGGCCACGAGATGGCGATGTCTTCGGGAGGCTTTTGCCCAGCAATTAATAGGTCACGGCTGGTGATTATCATTAGGGTGTTGTATTCATGCAATATGTACACATTTGGTTTCCATTTGACTAGAGAAAATGAGTTAACCTGATACGACGGACTGTAGAGGAGGACAGGCACATGGGATGGTGTTTAAGAACCCCAAAGCTAGCTTGTCTCTTCTAGGAAGGTGCAACCTAGCCTGTGGTGCCCCAGGCTGTCTTGATACATTGGAGGCACCGTTAATGAGAATTAACATTTTTAAAAGTGACTTTCATACGCACTCTAGTGACCGCACAATGCAGTGAATTATTTTTAAAAATATCGCAGTCACACCAGTGACATCACTGGAGCTCTCCAGAAGTTACTTTGAACTTTTTTTCCCCCTTCTCATGAATCGAGCTTCACACTCGTGGCACAGCCTGGGACGCACAGCCTACCTGTGTAGCTACAAGGCAAGAGCTAGTTGCTCGTTTAGTTTGCATCTTCCTTCAATGATGCCATGAATTTAAATCGAATCTTGAAAGGAGATGCAAGTGGCCTGGATGCCATTCATTTTAAAGGACAAACAGCATTGAGCTGTTGAAGCGAAGGTCATTAAGGGGTCCATAAATATGTGTTTCAGCAAGGGACATGAACAGCTGCGTGAAGAGCACGCCTTCTAAAATCATATTCCCAAACGAAATAAATGTTCCCAATCCTTGCGGGTAATGCGATAAATCTACGTCCTGCTGTGTAAATCTCGTTAAAGTAATTTTAACTCGGTTAAGCTTGGAAGAGTTTTGTTAGTCCCGCGGTGGGGCCCGTCTTACTCGGCTTGACCGAGTCCACGACTTGGCCACTTACGCCACGCACCCTCACCAACGTCGCATCCTCGTCACTCGTTTACTGCTACTACCATGCGTGCTCCACCCTTGGTGTTAAAAACTTCCTTTAAGTGGCATACTTGGTGCTATATTTTTTTTATAGATGTATAAGTAAAATGTGTTCAATGGAGCTGGTCGAGTGAGGTTTGGTTGTAGCCAACAAGTTATCGGAGACCACTCGTTGACAGGTGCGCGTGATTGTGTGCGCAAACATGGTTTCTGTTTCAGAACAAAGACGGTGGGGAGCGGTAGTGTAGTATAGCGGTTAGCTCGCGACGCTACGAACCCGGCAACCCGAGTTCGATTCCCGCTCATGGCCAACACCAGTGATGATTATCTGAGTTGGTCCTGGGCCTCCCCAGGTCGACTCGGCCTCAAATGAGTACCTGGTCCGGTGTGTAAACATCGCCACTGCGGAGACAAAGGCGGCCGGGCGTGGTGCTAGCCACAAACCCCCTCGTGTGCCGTGCCAGCCTTTCTAGGTGCCTGTTAACAGCACTTGCCCCAACAGTCTGTTAAGGCTACACGGGGGATCTTTGTCTATGTTGCAGGACAAAGGTGGTGGGAAGCGCAGTGGTGCAGCAGCTCGTGCAATGCTCTATAAACCCGGCGACCCGAGTTCGATTCCCAACCACGACTAACATCGGTCCCAATATCTCCCGTTTCCTGATTTGTGTTCTGCGCTCTGAAATGTTTGTTACTTTATGGTTGTCTGAACCGGTCCGGGGCCGCCCCCGAGGTTGATCCGGCTTTAAAACAAGTACCTGGTGTGATGCGTAAACATGAGTGCTGGAGAAACAAAGCACCGCCCCTGTCGTGCGCCGTTCTGGTCTGAACATTGTGCTCGCCAACAGCACTTGACCCCAGCAGGCTGTGTAGGCTACACGTGGGATCTTTGTTTTGGTCGCTGCAGGACATTCCCGAGGACATCCGCAGGAACCTGGTGCAGGAGCTGGAGCAGCCGCGGGTGCCTCCACGCACGCTCAGGCAGTACAGCAAGGAGGACATCGAGGCTTTCCCACGCGTCTGGACCCCGTAAGCAGTAGCACGTGGGAGCAGCTGTCGCCACACGTTGATGTCACCGTCTCTTTGTTCGCTCATCGTAATACCTTTTAAGTTCGATGTGTTGTTTCTGCTTAATGCTGCACTGTACCAAGGGGGATCCTCACCTAGTCTCAGACTGCTTCAGGGGAATCTTGCATGGGAATGTTTGGCCAGTTTCTTGTTGAGTGTCATGTGGGTGGAAATTGTAATTCCCAGTCACCGATGACTACATGGAGGAACCATCACATGAAATTTGAGTTTCATGTAATTTGCTCAAATTCCAGCTGTCGTTGAAATCTGATATGCAATCAATGCTCACTGCAGGGTATAGTCAAGTCAAGTTAGTTCATTTTTGGTTAACACATGGCACCTTTTTGGCACAAATCAGCCACCCAAAGTGCTTTTAGCGTGGATAGAGAGGCCTGATTGAAGTGACGTCAGAAGTAGTTCTGTAATGCCATCTCTCTGTGCCGTTCTCTAACGGTGACACAGGGGCATCCACCGCTAGCTGCGGAGTTCCAAACGGAAATTTCCTTGACTCGTGACAATACGCCGATGGCACAGTATCAAAAATTGGGGCACAGCGTGATAGCACTGCGGATAGCCATGTTCATTAGATGCCTGGGTGTGTGCATTGCTAGTCTGGACGTGGCTGGCATCGCGATGTAAAAGCAGAAGAATGCTTGCGCGTTCCGGTGGTGACTTATAGCCCCCAGAGTACGAAACGTGCTGTTTAATTTCTAACATTTCTGGGTTGTTTTTTGTCTTTTTTTTATCGTTCAAGGCCGAAGGACTTTTTGTGGAAGTAAACTGGGAGATGCAAGTTACGGGCCATGTTGACTTCAAGTACTAAAGCAAGGCACACGTCGGGCTGTGCGGACTCGTGTGACGAATCCGTCAATCCCACTTACACACAAAGACAAAGATTCCCACCACCCGCCACGTTAGCTGAACAGATTGTTGATTCTGTTACACGTACACACCCACACACACAAGGGTGCACACACGCACACAACAAAAACAAAACAATGATAGGGCAAGTGCCGTTAGTGAACGCCTATGAAGGCCAGCGTGGCGTACAAGAGGGTTATGGTGTGGCCACCACGATGACTGGGCACCTTTGTCTTCCCAATGCCAGTGTTTACACATCGCACCAAGTACTCATTTGAAGGCAAGTCGTCCGAGGGGAGGCCCAGTATCCGGTTCAGATGTCGCTCGCCACTTATTTGTCTTGGCTACAAATCAATTTGGGTTGTAGGGTCATAGAGCAGTTCACTAACCGCTGGAAACTAAGACAAAGATCCCTAGTATAGCTTCAACAGACCGTTGGGGCAAGTGCTGTTAGCGAGCACCTATGAAGGTCGGCACGGCACACGAGGGGGCGGGTGGCCAGCACCACGCCCGACCGCCTTTGTCTCCCCAGTACCGGACACACACGCACGCAAACGCTTGCCGTTGCGCCCATGCGGTATATCTTGTCACTTCTGCCATCTCGTTGACCACAGCTAAGATGAACTGTTCATGTTGGCAAAGAGTTGCGGGGCACTTTCTGTTTAATCTGTGCATTTTTTCTTCATGAGTTCAAGATGAAATTGCTCTCTCTCTCTCCTGTTCTCTGTCCTGCTCTCCCCCGCTCACTGTGCCCCAGAAAGTGGTTTTGCTCCAAAAAATGTTTTTTTGCAATTCTTGAGGGAGATTTAGTCACAACGGTGTGCCTGTGAGTTTGATGGCGGCTTCATGTGTTTTTTTTTTTAAAAGATGAATTATATCCTTTAAATCGTAAAGGGTTTGTTTCACGTATGTAATAATTATATCCATATACCATCAGATGCCAGCTGAATCAGAGCCGTGTTTTTGTAAGTTGCACATATAAATGGACGGTATACCCTGCACAGTATTTCCTTACACATTTAACATACGTGGCAAAAAATAACTACATGCAACCTTCGGATCCAGCTGTTAAATTTGAGCTTAAAAGGGAGTGGGATAGTAATAATACTCCTAACGTGCAGCGCTTTGTGCATTCATTGCTGGATAAAGGCCTCCCCGTGCCAAGTCGGTCATGAGGGTTGTTTGACCATATTTCACCACGCTGGTCAGTGGGTTGGTGAAGGTGGGGGGGCTTATAAGTGCAGTCCATACATTTATTTTTCTGCACTCCACTTGCACCACCACGTAGCCCCCGCAAGTCCTCGGATATCGCCCGCTACCAATGGATAAAATAAAATACCGAGCGGAGGAAAGCGAAGGAGATGGGGGGGGGGGGCGGAAGAGGCGATGGCAGTGAGAGCACATCACGGAGTTCGGAGGTCACTGGGGAACGTGAGCGACCCGAGGGGAAGGAAGGACTGGAAGATAATTTCGGGAGACTTTTTGCCTGCTTCGCAGTGGGAATTCACACGGACTGACGAAAACAATCGCGACAATGTTGGTTGTTACCGGGTTCATAACGCCGTGGCGTGAACCGCTACACAGCCGCTCTATACCCCCACTCCACCCCATCTTACATCGCCACGTGTGGTACAGAGAGTTAAATTCACTGAATTACATTGAGGGACTTTTATTTTCCTCCAGCTAAAAGGAGACAACCCCAGCAATACATTTTGCACGCACTCTTTGTGACTTAACGATTTATTATACCAAGTTTTTGCATCGGTACAAAAGGGGAGGGGAGGAATTTCTAGCATCTTTGTAAACAAGTCGCGTTGCTGAGCTTGCGTGCGCGGGTGCAATAAACACTTGGAACTGGCCGGGAACGCGGCGAATGCGTTGAGAACTTAAAGGAGCAGCCACTAAAACTGTACATGCAGGCACCCCCGAGGCTGATCAGAGGTCGTGAATAAGACTACTTGAGAGTGTACATACGTCCAAACAACTGGGCAAAGCAAAATGAAAGCACGTTGAATAACAGCCATATTCTAGTGGTGGTGTAGCCTTAAATGCATCCATACGTTTGGGATGCAGATCGTCGGTACAGAAACTGCCAAACGAAATGAAACAACCCAGGGTCGAAACTTAGCTAAGGATTGCATTAAATACTGGCAGCAGGGAAAGTTGCTCATGCTTGAGACGAGACACAGATAAAAAAATAAAATCCACAAGGCCAAATAGTTTCGATTTAAAGCTTTCGTGACTGCAAGGATTCATCTTTGGTTCTTTCGGTAAAGTCACGTAGAATGAGAATAAAATAATAAAATAAAACAATGAAATTCTCACGACGTTTCGGCCACAACACAAGTAGCCGTCCTTGTGTTGTGGCCGAAACGTCGTGAGAATTTCATTGTCTTATTTTATTATTTTATTATCATTCTACGTGACTTTACCGAAAGAACCAAAGAAGAAGGCCAAATAGCTTAACTGTTGGCTCCTGGTTCGTTAAAGCCACGATCATATGTCCTCAAAGTGTCTCGCCATCAGATTCCCTCTTAAGTAAACCACCGCTCACACCGATACCCATATGGGGCAAAACCTGACAACCACTACAGCTTTAGCAGGTAGAAAAACTACTAATCTATGACGTGTTAAATATCCTTGCAATACCCTTCTTTGTTTTAAATAAATCTCACTTCCTTCGCTTACGTCACCCCCCCCCCCCCAAAAAAAAAACAACCTCAATCCCATGAGGAAACGGCGAGGAAATGAAACGGTGGAGTTGAAACCATGTACCGTGCAAACGGGGCATCTCGCAGCAGTGCGCAGGGTCGGAGGGGCGTTGCTAAATTTCCATCGTTCACTTTTAATTGCCATTCAATTAAAAGACCTCGAAAGCAAAAAAAAAAACGGCACAATGCCTGCATCTGAACGAAATCTCAACAAGCGTTTGCCCCTAGGATTTATTCTAAAAATATATTGTATTTATTTCCCCCCCGCGCTATATTCTGACCCGCGTTCATCTAGTCGGCATGTTTTATATTTCAACTATAGTCTTAGCCAAGTCGATGACAAGCTGTGGAAGTTTGGTGAAGCGTTAGTTACATGGTGACGGGCTTCGCCGAGTCGTTCTCTGAGTTTAGTTGACTACAGTGGTCAAAATAAAACTAAGCTATTACTAAACTAAACAATTCTTGTTTTACCGGGTAAGGCCCCACTGAGCAATGTAGCTCTTCTTCAGAAGCGACCTGGCCACAAACGATAGCTCAACGGAGTGGCTTGTCACGTGGAAATGTATAGCAGGCAAATACTCTAAACGCACGTTTATGAAAAAAGTATTGTCCATTTTAAATGAGCATGCAATTCCTTTTATCACTCCCTCCAATATTGCAGGTAAGCCAGTAAGTCCACTGTAGTCTCGGAATAACTTTGCCGAATTATTTCAATCTGCATTTGCATTCCGACGAGTCAATGCCATCTCATCGTAGTCACGCTTAGGTCTCTGACTAAAAATAACACTTATTGCTGAATATCTCCATCATGAATTCTGTCATCAAAATGAACACCGATTCCAAACCTCCCAAGCCACATTCTACCCTGGGTTCCCTTTGTGGTTTTCCTCTATCCTCCCCGCACAGCACGGACGCCACCTTCCCACCCAACTCCTCAACCGCGGGGAGGTCTCGAATCCTCAAAGAACTCCTCCTCCTCCTCGTCTCCCTCCAGCTCCTCCTCGGTGCCATCCTCGAGCACCCGGAATCGGCGCACGCTCGACGATACGTAGGTGCGCGGCTGCACCACGGTGCGCGAGATGACCGTCTCCCGGCTACTGCCGCCACCACCTCCGCCACCACCTCCGCCACCATCGCCATCTTCGAACGCGTCCGTTCGGGTGAAGCTGGTGACGCGGCTGCTGCTGCTGCTGCTGCTGCTACCGCCGCCACCACCACCGCCGCCGCCGCCGCCCACCGCTCTGCTGTCTGTTGAGAGAGTGAACGGATTAAGCCGGTTAACGTTTAGCCCCCCGCAATTGCTCATGCCACTACTCGCCCAGGGGTGTGGGTGGGTGGGCCCTGGGTGGGCCCTTGGGTGGGTGGGCCCTGCACTACCAAATGTCCATTCGCCCCCCCCACTCCCCACCCATCCAAGCTCACACTCCGTAGCGGTTTTATTTTCTCACCCTAACAGTGCCCCCCCCCCCCCCAACCCCATCAGCGCTACTGGACTCCCATCTGGGAGCAGCTGGGCCTGCTGCTGGCTGAAGGGCACTTTACAAGAGGGGTGTTTTGGCCTACTCTTCCATGCTGGCCAGACGTCTTGGAAGAGGCGGGGGTACCCACGCTTTACCCCACCACACTCGACCTGCTGGTCGACGAGCGCCAGCATACGAGATTATTTCCGTCGGTGACAAGCTTGAAACGACAAACCCACGAACCCCGGAGCGCATCGTTTAATCGCAGACTGCCAAAATCTGGATTCAAACCAAGTATACTCAGCCGCCCTGACTCGAGAGAAGGTGCCGGAGTCGAGGGCATTTTTAACGCGATGGCCCTACGCTAATAATCAACCTCACTGCCTCGATCACGAGACTTTCTCTTCCTCCGCCTCCACATGGCGCCGTGGCACAAACAACCGATGCACACTGCAGCAGCTTTGTGCTCCGGCCAAGCAATTCTGGGGAAATGCTTTGCGCGCTGCGGTTTGGACCTCGAACTGGGTCACTCACTGTAGGCCTGCGAGCCATATGTGTCGGCTCCGTACGACTCCGGCTGGTACGGCTCCGGCTGGTACGGCTCCGGCTGGTAGGGCTCAGGCTGGTAGGGCTCCGGCTGGTAGGGCTGCGGCTGGCCGTACGGGCTGTAAGGGTTGTAGCCGGTGACGGGAAACGCCGGGGCTTCTGGCTCCCCGGATTCCGTCCGTCGGTCGTATCCACCTGTGGTCCATGGAATATGGGAGGGGTGAGCGGTGTTCGGTGGTGATAAAGGTGCGGCCCTGTAAATGCTTTGCTCAAGTCGCTGGTGGCAGATGGGCCCTCCATGAGGGGGGAGGGGGGAGCTTTGGAGAGCGCCCTTCACAGGGTATCTTGGTCTACTCTTCCACGCTGGCCGGATGTATTGGAATGAGTGGGAGCACCCACGCTTAACCCCATTCTGCACGACCTGCCCATTGTACAACCACGGTGAACCCATTCATACAGCTGGGCAGGCAGGCGATGTGTGTGTGGGGGGGGGGGGTGATTTAAGGAACCTCCCCATTGTGTCAACTGCCATGAACCGTGATGCCACAACAGTTTCCCGTAGAGAGCGGCGCTCTTAAGGCTCCCGCTAGTGGGGGCCTTTCCCTCCAGCATTGGCGTAAGTGAGGTAGCTGCAGCGCTGCGCCTTTAACTTCTTGAGGAGGATTTAGGGGACGCTAATCGCTCTTGGGTGAGTGGTAGGATTGCTCCCACGGGACTGTTCAATTGTGCACGCAGGATTAGTACACGGGGACAAATGTACACACGAATAGTTTAAACATTTTCATGCGTACGTTACACAGTGGAGGTGGAGCGTGGCTGGCATGGACTCCGATGTGAGGAATAAAATCAGGTCACCTGTCTACCCCCTCCACCTTGCCCTCCCCCCCCCCCCGCCCCCACCACATCTGATATTACCAACGGGACATAATAGTGAAGACTGAGAGCCTATTTATGTAAACGCTACCGATGTTTCGGAAATTTGGCTGGCTTCAAAAAGAAGGGGCGACGAGCCATGTGTTTCGGCGCAAACAATCGCCGCCGTGGAAGCGCCGATAGCCTCACCCACTCTCTCCCTCTACCGGAGAGGAATGATGGATGAGGACGATCGGCAGCGGAAGGGCAGGCGGCGCAGCAACGTGCGGCAGGCTCAGAGCCACAATCTTTTATTTAGGCTGGAAGAATCCGATGAGCTACGAAGCTCTTTTTCACACAGATGTCCTGTTGGGGCCGCCACCGCCTCCTCCGCCTCCTCCGCCACCACCGGCGATCAACCTTACCGGCCACGCCGTAGCCCCCGCCGCCGCCGCACTGCGACGGGTCGCAGTAGCCGGGCGGCCCCGGCGGCCCCGACTGACCCCTCGTGCCGGGCACCCCGTCCCGGCCCCGCTGCCCGGAAGGCCCCACCGGGCCCATGCTGCCCTCGCGACCGATGCCCTCGACACCTGCGGCCGTCGGTGACGGACGGGACGGGGACGGGGGGAGGGGGGGAGTGCAGGGGGGAGGGGGGACAGAGAAGGAATGGCGAGGGACAGCACCGCGAAGGGGTTAGGGTTCAGGGGTCATCGGGAGGCATGAGCGCGGGGGAGAACATTCGGCGTCCACTGGCAGGAATACGAGCATGTGCACATGAAATGTCGCTGCTATTTCTATGCAGTCATTTGTTCGCTCAAATGTTTCCATGTAATAAATTGGCCATGGTCTGTCCGCTGGTGGATGGAGTCCGGGGTGCGTCGTTCTCACCTGGCGGGCCGGGAGGTCCTGGGGGTCCACGTGTTCCCGTGCCAGGGTTTCCCCTCTCCCCCTTCTCCCCGGGCACACCTGTGGACAAGTAAGGGGGCGATGCCGCACGGCCGTCATTTGCGTTCCCGCGTTCCAGCCGGGTCCGTTTGCGTCGCCGGCGACGACCCGTAAAATATTGCCACACCCAGCACACCGCATCCCGTATACCGGGATGCAGACTGATTTATATGAGTCGTAACTTTTTACCACTCCACGGCTGCCCCTCCTGTGAAGGTGTCCTAGCTTGGTTGAGAAATTCGGGATTGTGGTCTATGTAATCATGTGTATTGAACTTCTTTCGCACAGTATGTAGCCAACTGTGCTAATCGGAGGTGCGGGGGAAGGGCAACAAGCCAAACACCA